CGATCGATCGATCGATTGATGATAACTGGTGGTGGTGTAGTTTTTCCCCCTGTGTTGTTGCTGGTGGTGCTTTCCCCTTGTGTTTTGTTTTGGTTGTTTTTAGATGTTTGACCATTGCGATCTAAACAAACCATAAAGCAATTTATTATTTTCGTTTTTCGTTTTTCGCTCTAGTTTTTCGTAGGTGCCATAAATATATTTATTCATCAAAAAATAGTGACCAGACACACCAGTATGAAACAAACAAACAAACAAACTTCGTTTATTATGATTATTATTATTACGTAAACGATGATGATGATGATCAATAAAATGATATTTTCGAAAGTTTTTTGGTAAGAAAAAAAATACTGTGAAATTTTCAAATGACAGTTACAGCTATTTACAGTTGTTGGCATTTTTGTTATTGTGAAAACACAAATTGATTATAGTGATTCGAATTTGAATTCGATCGGTTTGTCTTTTGTTTGTTTATTCAAATGTCTGGATTTGTTTTTTTCTCTTGGTTGGTTGGATTAGGATTTTTGTTTATGTTGAATGAATTTTTCATTTTGGGATTCTAAATCTTCTTCTTCGAGAGAGAATCTTTCCAAAATAAATTCCAAAGTTTCCCGAAAACACACACATAAAACACATTGATATATTCATCATTATAGGCCTAAAAATTGCTTTTCAGTTTATTTCGAAACAGCAGTGTATTTGAAACGAAACGAAACGAAAAAAAAGTGAATTTCGAGTTTGCGCACAACATTCATTATTTAGGCTTCGGTTGTCTCAATTCTCTCAATATTTATCAATTGAAAACAAGTAGACAAAAAATCATTCGCAATGGAGAAATATGATGATGTTTAAAATGTTTAGCCAAAAGAAGAAAATCAAAATTAATCATTTAGTTTTTTTTCGGTGCAAATTTTATTAAATTTTACCGAAAAAACCAAAAGTTTTTTCTAATTTTCAATTCGATTCTGAATTCAGGATTTGAACGAACGAACGAATGATAATAATCTTGTGAGGCGAAAATCTTTTTTCATTCGAATTCGAAAATTTCAAAAAATCAAAAAATAAAAAATAAATTCAGGTATACCTATGATAATGTTATCTATGTATCTTTCGTTTTCTTTTTTCAAACGTTCTATCTTTGTAGTTTTTTTTTTGTTGAGGGAAACTTTTAATAATAATCTGCCATGGCCTCCAATTCTGTGTTTGTCATCATCATTTGATTATTATGATGAACATTTTTTAGCCAGTTTTGATCTCGGTTGGTTGATTTGTACAGTCGGTCGGTCGTTCGGTCGTAAAGATAAGCTAAAAGCTTAAATGAACAGAATGAAACTAAGCAAAGAATATCATCATCCTCATATAAAAAAGGTGATCATTATCATCATTGTCGTCGTTGGTTGGTTGGTTCGTTTGTTGTTCGTTTGTCGATGACGACTATTTCAACATGATGATGATCATCCGGGTTATTATTGTTAATTTTATTTTTTTCTGTTTGATTGGTCCATTATATTTTCTTTTTATTATTATTATTATTATTATTATTACTTGTACAAATACAGAAGTGAATAAATAATCGATAAAAA